TCACCCCATCACTGCTCGGCACAGCCCCCACGGCACTTTGGGCTCTGGCTGCCCCAGGCCTCGAGTCACACAGCCCGGGAGCGAGGGTGACAAGCAGGGGGGAAGCCAGTGCGACCCTGTGTGTGCCTCCTGCCTGAGTCACGGCTGCAGCACACCCCGGTGCCGAGGCCTGGGTACAGCACGGCACAGCCCCGGTGGCAGAGCTGCCGCTCTGGATGCCCACACCTCCCCTGGCACGGCACAGCGTGGCACGGCACAGCATGGCAATTCCCTTCTCTGGGCTCCCAAAACACAGGCTCTTCACACACCCTGTGACCCAGCACAGTGCCTGGGTCTGTCTCCATCAGAGCTCCTGAGCCCCCACTGGCCCCGGCGCTGTCCTCTCCCTCCCATCGCTCCCGGTGCAGCTGCTCCATGTGCTCTGACCCGCTTCCCCTCCCATGTGTCCCAGCACGTTCCTCACACAGGTTCTTGGTGTGTAAAACAGTGATGGTTCACCAGCTCCAGTTGCTTGTTTTCCAGAGAACGCAGCCCAAACCCCTCATTGCTTCCAAAACGGGCTTCCTGCACCTCTGACCCCTGACCCCTCTTCCCAATGCCTCTGCTGCTCCAGCCCTGCTTCCGTCACAGCTTCCTCCTTTATCCCACTGTGGTACAGCCCCATACATCCAGCCCCAGCCCAACACACCCTGCTCCAGCCCTGCTCCCAGCACGGCTCCTGCTTTCCCCTGCATTCCACTGGGGACATCCCTGGCATCCAGCCCCATCCCACCGGGTACCACTGGCAGAGCCAGGCACATCCCTGGCATCCAGCCCCATCCCACCGGGTACCACTGGCAGAGCCAGCAAGGAGCAGCGCCGGTCACCCGCACCCAGATCCCCAAACCAGCAACACCTCGTTCCCTCCCACACGGCCCCAAGGGAAGTGGTGTGGCCACGGCGCAGTGGGACTCACCCTCAGCGGGTTCTCCCGGTCCAGGACGATCACCCTGCGAGTGACTGTGTGCAGCAGCCGCTCCAGGATCACCTGGATGTGCTTCTTCACCCGCGCCTGCAAGGTAAGAGGTGTCAGGGCCATGCCAGGGCATGTCCCAGCTGTGGGGCACATCCCAGCTGTGGGGCACATCCCAGCTGTGGGGCACAGCATGGCACAGCACCAGCCTTTGATCCCCATGCAAAGGCTGGTGGCATCAGGGTGGCAAGATGGGAATGGGCCCTGATCCGGGGCCAGAGTCAGAGCACAGCACTGTGCTCTGGTGTGAACACGGGACTCGGGATCTCTGTGCAGCTCAGCCCCACACACCTCCTGGCAAAGTGGCCGCCTGGCTGGGGACAACGGGAACAGCTGGGGACAGCTGGGAGTCACAGGGATGGCCGCACTGGCACTGAGCAGGCAAAGGTGGGTTCAGCTCACGTGGGGTTGAAGCAAGTGCAGAATCCTCCCCTGAGAGAGTCCCACCACCCTCTTCATAAAGGCTATTTTAGATTTGAACATTAAGCCCAAAATGAGACATTTCACCACAATTTCTGAGCTTTCCCTCCTGCTCCTTGGCTTCCCGGTGCCCTGGGGGTCAAACGGCCACCACGCCCTCCCAGGACACGGTGCAGATGTTCACCTCAGTTCCCACTGTGCCAGTCACTGCGCTTCAGGGGTGAGATCTGTGTGATCTCCCAGGGGTCCCTGAAAGGGACTCCAGAGCACAGAGCAGCCAGGAAGGACAGGAACAGAGGAAGGGTCCTGCAAGCACCGAGCCCTGCACGATCCCAAAGTGCTGGGAATGGCACTGCCAGCAGTAGCCACACGATGTCCCACCACCCGACCCGGCTGTGGGAGGGCTGGGCTGGCAGGGAGGGACAACGATGGGCTCACCAGGGGCAGGGACATGGCCGATGTGGCTGCGGGAAGGCGGGGATGGACGGCAGCCCCAGGAAGCACAGGGAGAGGGGGGCAGCTGCCAAAATCTGGGCATGCAGAGACATTCCCCACCCAGGGGGGACTCGGGTGACCACGCAGGGTTTGTCACCACAGCCAGACGCAGACAAGCCCTTCCCAAAGGCTCAGGGTCACCTGGACCCTTCCTGCCATGCACCACACGCTGAGGCTGCTGGAGGGACACTCACCAGCTCCAGGTCCCCGCGGTCCCTGTCCCGTGCTCGCAGCTCCTCCGCGCTCTGCAATCACAGCACCCCGGGAGCGGGACTGAGACCCTGCAGGGATGGCCCCGGCCCGCCCAGCCCACCCTGGACGGGCCACATTTGGGTGAGCAGGCACCCACATCTTCTTCCTCCTCCCTGGCCTCACCTTCCCCCCTGCCCTTGCCTTCCTCCCAGCTCTGCAGAGCCAGCAATGTCCCCCCACCCTCAGGTCAGTGCCGTCCCTGAGCTTGGAAGCCCCTTCCTGACTCATGGGAATGGAGGGGAACCCACTAGAGACTCGCTGAGGTGGAAACCAGCAGGTTTTTGCCCTACCCTGGGCAGGTCCCTGCTGGGATGGCGGCACCCACAGTCCCCTGTATGACTACGGTCAGCTCCAACCATATCGTGGCCAGGAATTTGTGCTTAACCCCACTCAGAGGGATTTGGTCAGGCCACTGGCCAGATAATTCCTGGGTTACCTTCTGGGCCTGGTACAGCACCTCCAGGATGCTGCTGAGCAGCTCGATGCAGGCCTCCTCCTCCTCACCTGCCTGAATCAGCTCCCGCAGGATGGGCAGGGCCGCCTGCAGCACCAGCTCCCGGCACTCTGAGGGGGAGAGGGGGGCACAAAGATGAGGCAATTGCCCCCCCTCTGTGGAGACCCCATAGGCATGGGGCAGAGGAGGTGTCCCTGCGCAGGGAATTGTCCCCATGCTGTGCCGTAGCCCCCAGGTGAGCTCAGCAAGGGCTGTGCCACCAGGACCCCCCGTGCCGCCTCTCACCGTGGGACTGGAAGGCTCTGCTGCTGGCGATGTGGGTCAGGGACTGCAACTTCTGCTTCAGCAGGCGCTGGGGTGACAGGTTCCCCACGAAGTCCCGCAGCACGGCCCTGCCGTTGGGAGAGGGGTTAACCCCGGACCCCCGGGTTCTGCTCAGGATGGGGCTGCTGGGCAGGGGGAGCCCCTCGATGGGGCAGGATGGTCCCAGAGGGCAGCCACAGACAGTGCAGGCACCCAGCATACAAACCCCACCGTAATTCCCAAAACACACCCAGATGGGGCTCAGCCCCTGCCCCAGCACAGGCAGCTGCTAAAACCGAGCAAACCCCTCCCGTTGTTGCACTGGGAAGGGCATCAGGAGACCCAGAGCCCTCCACTTCCCCCCATTCAGCTCTGGGTCAGACACAGGGACAGAGGTGGCTGTGGCGGGTGCTGAGCATGATACAGGGCTGGGAATGGGGGGGACAGGACAGGGACAGGGACCCTACCCCAGTGCAGAGGAGTCAAAGATCCCAAACACGTCCTCGAGAATGGAGGGCAGGTACTTGAGGGCTGCTCCCTGCAGAGAGACCCGAGAGCTGCCGGCGCTGACCCGGCACCGAGAGGAGACATGGGCAGGGCACCCACGGCCCCACTCCCCATGTGCTGAGGGGCTGCGGCCACAGGGCTTCAGGCAGGGATGGAACAAAACGGCCTTAAAGTCCCTTCCAACCCAAACCATTCCCTGATCCTGTGAGTCTACAGGATCGGGGTATCGATCCGTGCTCAGATGGGAGAGGGGATAAGGAGCCCCTCCGCTCCATGGGGGTGACTGTCCTGTTGGCCTTCAAACTCCTTTTTTTTCCAGTTAGATCAGTTT